TAGCACCATATGATCCAGATCCTTGTATCTAACTTCACCCTGATAAGATAAAGTTTGCTGTTATTTTTTTTTTTTTTTCAAAATACTAAAAGTACGTCCTTATTGAGGACCATCTCTACTATCTTAAATATTTGTCTAAAAATGGGGAAATGAAGGTTTCTACAAGGGCATTAAATCAGAGAATCTTTTTGACGGCTCTTTAGTGTAATCCATGGCAACCTGATATTTCATGAGGATCCCTCATAGGAAAATATTTTTCTATTCTTTCTCTTGTCATGATTCATTAATTGAATCCTGACATCTGACGTTGTCCTTAACAGAAACTGTTGTGAACTATTCAGAATTAAGAGCGAAGATTAGAGCTTGGAAAAGTGCTGAAAAATTGTTATTCTTACATCTAAAATGCGTACAGCGAGTACCATTAAACTTTATATATCCTCACTCACTCCTACATCTAAGAAAACTTCTTTCAGCAGACCGATATGTGTAAAATCCAAGAGAAGAGAGAATATAGATCAAGTTGGGGAGGCCTGAGCAGCTTCCATGCACATCTGGAGCACCACTTCACTTCTCTTCTCTATTCTCGTCTTTATCTGCTGATGAAAGATTATTTTCCTGGAAATGAGAAGAGAGAATAAACAGACAAGTTTCAACAAATCTAGGAAGGCAAACAAAGGAAAAGAAAAGGCATAATTATACCTATTGATCTTTTACAGTGAAGGACTGCTTCATGAATTGAGTTCTCATGATCAAACAGATCACCCATAGAATAATCTTTAACTGATACTGGAGATGCTTGCTGTGAAATGCTCCAACTATTCACTTCCCACTCCGTCTTCTCAAAGTCACCAACTCTAGTACTTTCCCTCGAGCACCCTACTCTCCTCCCTAATTGCTTGAAATACCCAAAGGTGCTTCTCAAGATTTTCTGCGTGGATTTTCTCCACTTTGTGAAGAACCCATGATGATGAGTCCCCACACCTCTTGGAGAGACAATTCCTGAGTAAAAGAAAGAACTAGGCATGGTTTGTGTAGAATCAGGAGTATTGCAAGATCTTATCTTTGAAGTATTACCATAAACAGGTCTGATAAAGCCATCAGAGAAAAGCTCATCAGCATGAGCAAAACCAGCAGATGGTGAGAGAGTGACAGAAAAATCAAAGTTAAAGCTCTGGGTTTCGCCATTATTAAACCTTCAGAGTTCATGGAAGCTCTGAGAGGCTCTTCAAGGCAGTTCACAGAAGGCTTGAAGTCTGATAGCCAACTGTGTGAAAAGCTATCAGTAGCCAGAGGCAGTGAAGATTCCATTGGAAACAAGGAATAACAAATTTACATGTGTTATTGGTAGCTATAAATATATAATATAATGTTGGTGACAAAAACAATAAGAGGCCACGAGAAGAGAAGGGAAAGCCTTGTCTATTCTGTCAAGGTCAAGGTTGGAACAAATAGAATGACATGAATACGCAAACTGAATTGACTTTTATATATAGCAAGTTTATACCTTGCTTTCTCATCATCATCATCTAGTTGTGGTTGTCTGCAATTTCAATTGGATTGGTAAGGTAAGATAAGCCATACAGTGAGAGAGAATAGAGAAGGGAACAAAAACATGAAAAGGAAAGGTTTGTCTAGTTAATTTGCTTTCATTTCTTTTCTATTTCAAGCTACTGCAAAATGAAAAGGAAATTGGAAAACTAAAATAAGAAAGCATGAAAAATGCCATATTTATGATGTTAAAATGGCTTTTTGAAGTTTGCAGGGACAGAACTACAGAAGAGCATGAAGAATGGCGTGAAGTATGGTGACTGTGGAGTCAAAATTATTCTTAAAATATTCACACACAACAGAACTTCCATACTCAGAAGGATTAACCCGATTGGTTAGAACAAGGACGTCTCCATTTATCAATTTTGGTTCATTTATTGCAGAATTATGACAGGAGTGTGTTCTTTTAAGATCATTCGAGGAGGAGGTTTAGATAAGGGTCTACAACTACAAGGACTAAGGTTGTTTATCAACAAAAACATGTCTGGCTTAATCCTAGAGAAATTATTAAAAATAAAAAACTTAATTTTATTTATTAACAAAAATATAATTATTTACATCCAAAATGCAATGAATTAGGAGAGGTGTACATATTTAGTGCCCGACAATGTCTCAAATAGAATTGCCTCTATATAAGATGATACCTATATATAAAAAAAATTAAATAAAAAGAAACATCTTTTAAAATTATAAATATTCTATACTTAGGTATTATATTTTTATATTATTAAGCTTAGAAATCAGTTATAATCTTAAATAAAACTAAAAGATTAAATTCTTAAAATTTTTTATCATAATCATAACTTTAACTTATTACATGTGAATATGATGTGTGTGTGTGTATAGAGAAAAAATAATTCTATAAAATTAATAATTATTTATGAAAATTTTAAAATATATAAGACAATAAACATTTATCGAGTTGGGCAGAACTTGGGTTGACCCTAACCTATCCCGCAACTCAATTTTATGTTATTGGGCCAATCAATATTGATGATTGGGCTGGACCTACCAATATACTAAGTTGGTTCAACGTTTAGATTCATTAGAATGAATGATCATTTCCAAAGGCAAACAAATCCTGCTGATATGATTTTGAAATCTTGGAAATCCTTTGTAATAGCTAATGATTTAGCTTCAGTTGGTAGCTTATTTGTTACTAATGAGTCAGCAACACCTCTGGTTGATTGGATTAAAATCAATGTTGACGGTGCTGTGTATCAATGTTGATCGTGCTGTGTCTTCTACTGGACAAGTAGCTAGATGTGGGGGTGTCTTTAGAAATCACAATGGTGAATGGATAAAAAGTTTTGCACAAAGATTAGGAATATGTGATGCTTTGGAAGCTGAGGAATGGGCAATACTTAAAGGTCTCGTTTGGTACAAAACAATAAAAGATGGGGATTAAGATTACTATTAAAAAAAATCATTAAAAAAGTCTTTAGCATAAGTGATTGTTTATTATATGAGATTAAGTAAACCCATAAAAGTAGGATTTGGAAATACTACTTCCCCCATGGTATTTTCCAATCCCATATAGATGGGTTTGTCTAATCTTATGTAATAAGCAATCTTTCATGCTAAATACTATTTTTCTAATCTCAATCATAATCTCTTATTTTCAATACTTCGTATTAAATGGTACCAAAGATCTTTCAATAGCTCAGGAGAGGGGATTCAAGAAAATAATTCTTGCATCTGACTCCAAAACCTTAATTGATATGCTATTGAGCAATTCTATACTTGGCTCTTATAGTTTGGTGTTTATGCGGATCAGGGACATGAAGATTCTTGGTTGGGACTTACAGTTGAGATACATCTCCAGAGACAAAAAATCATTTGCTGATGCGTTATCAAAGGAAAGTCTCTCTTATTCAGGTACCTTAGATCAATGTCCGTGACATCTATAGATAGTTATGAAAAACGATTTACTGGGATTTAATCCCCTCCCGTTTTAATTTTTAGTTAGGCTTTTGCCCTCTTTGTTACCAAAAAAAAAAATACAACAGAAGGCTCCTCTACAATATAATTTAATAATAGTAATAGTAATTGTTTTATTTTTGCTACCAAAAAAGGGTCTCCGGTTTTTTTTTTTTTTGACCAGAAAAAAAGGGACTCCGGTTAGAAGCCCCGCTATTTAAGGCCGTGTCAAGAACACTGAATTTACACTATACAATTTAACAAATTTTGTGTGAATTTTTTCTTTGGACTGAAATTTTGTGTGACTTAGATCCAAGTGCATTTTTTTTGGGCCCAAAGAAACAGATCTAAGTCTTTTTTTGGGATGTTATTCGTATAAGACTTTCTTAAATGCGACATTAAATCCAACCCTTTAATAGAATATACTTCTCTGGTCCTATTTTATTCCAAGTGAAAAAAATCTTAAACTGCATTAATTTTTTCATTTTACCCATATTTAATATATACACTTTTTAAAAAAATAATTATCTACTTTATAACAAATGAAGGGCAAAATAGTACATTCATACTAAAAATTTAATAAAGTGACTTATAAATAGGACTAAAAAAAACTTTTTTCTTTTGCTTTATAAATAAAACCAGAAGAGTATAATGGATGCATGAGTTATGAAAAAGAAAATGCAAGGCTATTCAAAATCTTTGCATCTTATATTTGGAGGGTTTTAATCTCAACATTTTCATCCTTACATATATTAATTTCAAGTCCAAAATGATTTACGGATACTTTAAGCTATATCAAAAAAAATATATTTGCATCTCTCAGATCTGGGGAGAGACCAGATATGTTCCATTTGAATACATATAAATACAATCAGAAAGCACGAGAAAGATACTCCTCCTATTTTAAATAATAAATGTATGAGGTAGTTAGAAGTTAACTCGGTTTTAAATATAGAACTTTAATTAATTTTATTTTTTATATTTATCATTTTTAAACTAATTTATAAAGTAATATATAATTTAATGTTATATAAAGATATTTTAGAAAGATCATATCAAATTTATCCCAACTATCATTATTTAACTTTCTTAATCTATATAAAGTATTTAAATTACCCTTACATTGAATATGTTCAAGACCTTATGGAGCATTAAATACAAATAAATCTCTTAAATCCTAATAGAAATTCAAACCTTGATTTTTTAGGAAGAAGCTAGTTACTTTCATTTGACCTAACCTGTTGGTAATTCTTTGTAAGCATTGAATGATTTTTTTTAAAAAAAACAAATGTCGCTGTATTGAAATAATCGTATTTAAGATGTTGTCGACCACTTTCATTGTACAGGCATCGAATGCATTGCCCCAGGTACCAGTGGATATCGCTGTAGTGGGGCTGACTAGCAATCCAATCAGCTGAAAATAGTGATGATATTTGACACTTTGTGGAGAATTCAACTCCACCAAATTTGTAGTACCTTGCATTCAATAACGTCGCTTTGCCGGTCAATGCGCCCTGCCGTGGCCCTCGGGTGTGTCTGGGTCAAATTGTCAATCCCACACCAGTGAAGGAGGTGTATAATTGTGTTTGGTCTCGCTCTCACCTCGGATATTTTGAAGTAAAAATTGTTACCTTGCATTCATACCGCTTTCTCCTCTTTTTTTCCTTCTTTCTTTTTCTTTAAATTTTTTATTTATTTTAGTTAATTTATAGTTAACACTCTAAAATATTTTTTTAGTAACATTTAATATCCTAAATTAATTAATTTTTAATATATTCAAAGTATTTTTCAGTTAGTGAGTGTTACTAGAAAAATATTTTGGTTTAACAAGAACAATATTTCAAAAAGCTAGATGCAGTCAAAACTAATTAATTTAGGATATCGAGTGTTACTAAAAAAATTTCAGGATGCTAAATACATTAAAAATTAATTAACTTATAATACTGGGTTCCACTGTAAAGATACTCTAGGGTATTAGACATATTAAAAAATAATTAATTTATGATAGTGGGTGTAACTGAAAAATAGTTCAGGTGATTGAATGCGCTAGAAATTAATTAATTATGATACTAGATGTTATTGAAAAATTCTAAAATACACTAATTATTATTCTAAGTAAAAAAATAAAAGTTATTTTTTTTTAAAGAAAGAAGAGGGTCTCATCCCCCAAAAAAGAGGGTCTCATCCCCCAAATGCTATGGTTTGGGGGATGAACATGTGCTATTTAGAGATACACTGAGCAGGGGATACATACTCATATAAAATTAGTTAGAGATTTAATTTAATTTTAAATATAAATCTCAGTCTATTTTACTTTTAATATTGATCCATTTTATTCTAAGTAATTCTTATGGCGATTGCACATGTTAAGAAGTCTTCATTAAGGAGTAGTTTCACTAAACATGATTAATATGGGTATTTTAGTGAAAAAATTACCTATTTGTTATAAATAACTAACTTAAATAATTTTCTTAATATTTTTGAATTAATTATATAGCTCTTATAGGCAGTAATACACCTCCCAATCTTTAATACAAGAATTGCATAACTAATTTGCATATGTTAAAAAAATTAGTTAAGCTAATTATTTTGTAATAAATATGTATTGTTTTTCCTAGAATACTCTATTTAATTAGGGGCATTGAAACTCCCTTTCATGGAAACATCTTAATACAGGTAATAAATTTGAAAGAAATGACGAGTTAATGTCTTATATTTAGGGCTAGGAAAAACCATATTGGAAATACCTATACTTTGTTTAGTTTGGTATTTATGTGGCTTTTTATTAATTAAATCATTTAATTTTACTTTTTTTTTAGTAACATTGCTATTGTAACTTTGTTCTATTAGTATTTTTAATCTCTATGCAAGATTAAAAGAAAAAACATATAAGTACTAAATTAAAAACTGACAAAAAAGAAGGTATACTTACATTCAAAATAGTTTTCCCCTTATGACTAAAACAAACAACTTATTTAACTCTTTTGTTTTTTGGCCACCAGATCTAACTCTTATAATTACAATATAACGTTATATATATAAATATATATAATAATTAACTAATTTATTTGATTTATGATTTAATCTACCCCAATTAATTTTTATTCATTCTAAATGTTTATTTGTAATCTGTCTTTTTTCGTTTATCACTTAAGAGACTTACGAACTCATTACATTCATGCAAGATCAAACTTGCAACTTAAAACGCAGTTTAAAAAAAGCCTAATGTCATTATATTAATAGTTGATCTTTTAAATATAGTACTACTGTAAAGCTTCAGACTCACGTTCACACTTCTTACCTGTGGCTCCCTACGCGAGCCACGTTGTTTTGGCACATTTGATTAAGAAAAAAGAAAATCGCACATTCCCACATGCTTGTCCTTCTTCTCGGGTGCTTCCTATTTCTAAATGGAGTATTAGATACGGCATAACATGGTTAAAAAAAATAAAATGAAGGGAGAAGAGTGATTTTATGATTTTATATCATAATAAATAAAAGAAATAAACTTTACGTATGGTTTTAAATTTTTCTATTATTTTTTAATGATAAAACTACATGGTTACAGATAATTCAATTTATCTTAAATAAAGGTTGGCGAAAAAATTGGAAAAAAAGTCGTAAAATACGAGTGGATGCTATTAAAAGAAACTAAGCATATATGGTTATGATATTTTAGCCAGATAAATCTTGAAAGGGATCCCATAATAAGGCAGGAAGACAGGAGTTTAGGAGATTCATTCTCCAATCAAAATCCTAATTAAAGTAATCAAGTAATAATTATAATCAATCTAGTCCCTGCCACGTCACTTTCCATTTTTTTATTATTTGTATTATTGTTATTATTTTCCTGGCTTCGAATCTGATTTTCTTTTGTCATTTAGTGCCTCGGTGCCGTTCACTTTCAGAACCCAGTTCTCTTGTACATATCCTTATAAGCGACTTTTACAAATTCGACGACTTCGAGAACCGGGCTAATTGCCGAGTCACGTTCACCAACTCATTTGATTCCGTCTTTTCTTTTTTTAAAAAAATTTCTATCAGATTCCATCTAAAATTCGAAACAAATCTCTAATCTTGTTATTTATTGTAATCAGGATGATTTGGGCCTTTGTATATTGCAGTATTAATTTTTTAAAGTATATATATATTATTATTGAGAAATATAAAAATCCTTGCGTTATTTTTATCAACAAAAAAAATCTCTGCGTTATTTTTTGGTTGGATTTAGATTTGGAGAAAAATATAATTTTTAATTCTTGAATTTTTCATTAATTATCAATTTAGTTCTTAAATTTTTACTTGACATAATTTAGTCTTCATAATCTTTTTGATTCAAGATAATTTAGTCATTGTAATTTATTAAATTAGGAATTATTTTTTTCAAATTTGATTTTTTTGAGCTGGAATTTAAAAACTATAAGCACTAGGTTGTTCCGTATCAAAATTCAGAGTTTGAATTAATAATTGAAAAAAAGCTAGAAATTTATATTTTTCCTAAAATTTGACAATTTTGTCTGCCAAAGAAAATATTTTGGAGTTTGCTCATGTTTATCCAAGGAAAGCAATAATCAGCAAAATATTATGCAAAAATACTCTATTTTTAATATATTAAATAAGTTAATCCTTTCCTTTAATTTATAAGGAGAATGACAGACAAAGAAGTTGAAAATTGTAAATCCTAAATTAGATTTAGTAACATAACTTTATTTGGTATTAACAAGTCTAAATTTATAAATAACAACAAATTTTTGTTAACATTCTTTGTTTGGCATTTACAAAATTCCAGCTTTTTTTTTTGTCATTGTCCCTAATTTATATGAATAATTGCAGCAAATAAGATGAAAAATTTAAGAGCCATATGTTTATTTCTTTATTTATTTATTCCCTTTTTAACGCCATTGTATCAATTCAGTCATCAAATCAAGCACCAAAGGGAAGTTTCTTTTTTGATGTCGGTAGATTTTTTTTTTTTTTGACCAAATTGATGTCGGTAGATTTAAAGGAAAGTCATTTACAATCATCACATTACACTAGCTGCGATATTCTGGTTCCAGATAGAGATGAGATGTGGCATACATTCAGGCCAAAGAAAAAAGATGTGGTATATATGAAGTAGGGTAGTTAACATAAAATTATATTATAACTAACTATTAAATATTAGTATTAGTAATTATAGTAAGTTTTGTGAAAACATATATATTTAATTTATCATCAGATGAAACCTTTCATCTTTTAATTAAAATATTAAAAATATGGTCAAAACTTTAAAAATAAATTCTTAATTTTCCCCCAAAAATTTAGTAAAAAATTATCCAAAGAAAAAAAAGGATTAAAAGTAGTTTTTTAAGGCCATTGAAACTTTGTAACGGAAAAAGAGTTGAATTAGTAAACCTATTAATTTACTGATCAGGCAGTGTTTCCCTGATTCTCTCTCTATAATCCCATCACGTGAGGTTGAATAGCCCGGAAAAAAATATCTAGGAAGTCACGTACTCACCGAAATATCCTACAGAGCAGTCCACGTTAAATTCCCTGTGACCTCCTCTCTAACCCTTGATTCCTAACCGATCCCATAACCGTACATCTCTATCCCACCGCTTTGCCCCAAGTTGCCAGGTAATTGCCGCACATCTCTCTATAATCTCGTCACGTGAGGTTGAATTGCCCCGGAACAAAATATCTAGGAAGTCACGTACTCACTGAGATATCCTACAGAGCAGTGCATTTTAAATTCCCTGTGACCTCCCCGCTAGCCCTTGATTCGTAACCGATCCCATAACCGTACATCTCTATTCCACCGCTTTGCCTCAGGTTTCCAGGTAATGTTGGCTTTCCAAAGGTTGCTTCGTTGTTAAACAAAGGCAGAACCTTTCTTCTCCCGTGTGCTGTAACGTACATATAGCTGCCTAAGGGCATTCGAAAACTCGACAAATTAAAAGGGCCTCTGAAGTTGCAGATAAACAGGGAGGGAGGGAGGCAGAGAGATCTCATCCAGATCAAATCTATATCCCAGTATTGGGATCTATTTGATTTGGGTTCTCTTGCATAGCAGAATCAGGTTTATCCTTTTCATCCGTGACGTCTTCCTGCGTTAACCATTCTTGTTTTTCTCGTTCTTTGCTTCATATTCTGACACAATGGAGGCTGAGAAGAAGTACATTACGACCGAGGAACTCAAAAAGCACAACAAGCCGGGGGATTTGTGGATCTCCGTGCAAGGTAAGGTTTACAATGTCACAGATTGGGCAAAAGAACATCCTGGTGGGGATATTCCTTTGTTGAACCTCGCTGGCCAGGATGTAACCGATGCGTTCATTGCCTATCATCCTGGTACCGCATGGAAATATCTGGACAAATTCTTCACTGGGTATTACCTAAAAGACTTCCAGGTTTCGGATGTGTCCAGAGATTACAGGAGGCTCGCATCAGAGTTCGCGAAATTGGGTCTTTTTGAAAGGAAAGGGCATGTCACTTGTTATACTCTTACGTTTGTTGGTGTTCTGTTCCTCGTTGTTCTGTATGGTGTTTTGAGATGCACCAGCGTGTGGGCACATTTGGGTTCTGCTATGTTGTTGGGTTTGCTTTGGATGCAAAGTGCGTATGTGGGTCATGATTCTGGTCACTATGAGGTAATGTCAAGCAAGGGTTATAACAAACTTGCTCAGGTACTTTCTGGGAATTGCTTGACTGGTATAAGCATTGCCTGGTGGAAATGGACTCACAACGCCCATCATATTGCCTGCAATAGTCTTGATTATGATCCTGATCTGCAACATATCCCCGTTTTTGCTGTATCTTCCCGTTTCTTCAATTCAATAACATCTTGTTTCTATGGGAGGACCTTAAATTTTGATTCTCTTTCCAGGTTCCTTATCAGTTATCAGCACTGGACATTTTACCCAGTAATGTGTGTTGCCAGGGTTAATTTGTTCATTCAAACGTTTCTTCTTTTGTTCTCAAAACGCCCTGTCCCAGATAGAGCCTTGAACATAATGGGAATTCTTGTGTTCTGGACCTGGTTCCCTCTTCTGATTTCTTGCCTGCCAAATTGGCCTGAAAGGGTTATGTTTGTGTTAGCAAGCTTCTCTGTCACATCAATTCAGCACGTTCAATTCTGTTTGAACCATTTTGCTGCTAATGTTTATGTTGGGCCACCAAATGGTAATGACTGGTTTGAGAAGCAGACTAGTGGCACCTTGGATATCTCTTGTTCAAGCTGGATGGACTGGTTCTTTGGTGGATTGCAGTTTCAGCTTGAGCACCATTTGTTCCCAAGGCTTCCTAGGTGCCAATTGAGGAAGGTCTCTCCAGTGGTGATTGATCTCTGCAAGAAGCATAATTTGCCTTATAGGAGCTTGTCATTCTTGGAGGCCAATAAACGGACCATTAGGACTCTTAGAACTGCAGCCTTGCAGGCTAGGGATCTGACAAACCCTGTGGCCAAGAATTTGTTGTGGGAAGCTGTTAATACTCATGGCTGAGCAATAAGGATCAGAATAAATGGCTGATATGCCTCTCTCTGTGTCTCTGTTCTTTCTTCTTTTTTTAATTTTTTGCCCTTAAATTTCTTGCCCAAGGGCCCTGGAACACTTTACAGTTCATACACTCGGCATCTATTTATACATTTTTCAGATTTTGGTTGCATTTTTACCTCCTCTATATTTCTGTTATCGTCAGCCTCCATTCGGTGGGATTAGCGTGTTCGTTTATGATGCTTATACCATGTTTGATCATATATGTTATTGCAGAGGATTTCTTGTTCTTTCTTCATTTCCTTTTTTGTGTGTTTGAGAAAGAACTGTTCTATTGAACGTAATTATGGCTCAACCATCGTATGTAATTTCAGCTGTAGGCCCTATCAGGATCATTTTGTTGGTGGTAGACCTAACATAAAGATTTAACTTTGCCTACACTTAACGCTGAATGGTGACAAGTGTTTAGCCTTCGTTTTACCAGAATGATGATTCTAATTATTTTCAGTGGAAGGGAAGAAATTGAAACTGATAGCTTGATGCCTGTGAGGAACATCGAATGTTAATTCTAAGCAAAGCTATAATGGATTAGTGTTTCCCGTGTTTGTGATAGGTACTTATTATATTCCTTTTTTTTTTTTTTGGGGAAATTAGAAGGTGTTTCTAATAGGTAGTCATCAAATCACGACGATTTTTTTTTTTTTTTGACTTAGGAGTAGAATTTTTTTTTTTAATCACACACCCCCATTAAGCTCTTAAGAGGAAGGACTCCCCAACACACACCCAGAATCGCTGGACTTCCCACAAAGTAGGAGGCATGGTATGCCACCAAGCCCTTTTGATACAAAACATTGGAAGCTTATATACATAATTTTTCTCAACTGCAATACCAATTCATATTCCTTATTTTTAATGCTTCATACTAAATGTGATATTCAGAATCGAATTCACCTGCTCACTTGGGATTGAACCTGCGCGTTCTCAGTTAAGAGACTTTTATATTACTAAGCTATAAGATTATTAGTGTGTCAAATCAAATCACAATTTTGATGCTGATGTTGTACTAATTCTATGTTAGTTGTGATGGTATTAATGAAAGGTGTTCATTCTCTTTAAACAGAGTTGAAACTTGCGAGTCTAGTTTAGACTTTATGAATGAAAAAATTACGTCAGGAGAATCACCTCCTAGGTATACTATAAATCATATAATTATATTATAAAAAATAAATAAAACGAATAGCTGAGACATGAGCGAAGGTGAAATCAAGGGGCATTCAATTGGATTGTTTTGCTGAAAAAATTTGCTTCGAAGCAAATATAGATGTGGGTGACAATACCACGGAGGTCAGAGTTCAAGTGCAGCTTCTGAATAATAATTTCCAAGCATAGTTTATGTGTTCATGCTTTATCAATCCTTTCACCCAAACTAGAAAGAATTGGAATTTAAAGAGTAGTATCAATCAAGTCACAACAAATCTAATCATTCAATCTTCCTTATAACAGGAATACCACCCTTATTCATAATCCATCAATAAATACGAAGGAAATAAAATTAGAAGTCTTTGTTTAACAAATACAATGCTTTGCAAGAGAGAGAGTGACATCAATGAGATGAGCATTCAAACTCATCAAATTTGGATTTAATTTTTTTTTAATAATTATTTTAATAAATATAGAATTTAAAAGAGAAATGATATTTTAATTTTATTTTTTAAAAATATAATTTTTCATTTAAAAACAATCAATTAAATATTTTAAGTTTGAACTATCCAAATTAGATATGAATAGTTTGGATTTGACGAGTTTGAAGAGCATCCAAGCTGGGTTGGTGGCATATGAAGGTGTTAGGATGCAAAACATAGGATCACAAAGCAAAGATTAAAAAGATAATCTAATAACCTGTGCTCTTAATTCCATTTATCTCTACGCTCTACGCTCTTATAATCTAGAAATTCCAGCAAGGCATTATGAGGAGATGGAATATGTAGGAATTGGGCTTCACCCTAACTCCATGCCCACTACAATGAGCATGCCTACCCAACTTAGTGCTTGTTGGGTTTGGATTGAAGTTGGCTTGACCCTACTTTTTTTTAAAAAAATTATTTAAAATCTAAAAATTGTTCTTCATCAACAGAAAAAATGACTAGTATTATGCAAAATATATTTTTTTTTAAAAAAAAAAAGACTACCTCAAGTTATAAGAGTTATGCAACATCTAGTAATAACAAAATTAGTTATATTAGTTATATTGTATGCAATCAATGTAAATGTTTTGACAAAAAGAATAAAGTGATAAATAAAAAAAATTGAGATCTTATCATCAGTAGCAAGATAAATTCTTTAATTAACTTTTACATTTAAAATAAATTGGATAAAATGAGCTTAATGGAGCAGCTGGCTTAATCCTAGTCATAATTGATAATTTCATGTGTTTAACAATTTAGTTTTCTCCCATACGGTGTGTTGGCATGGTGTTTGTATTAAAAAAGATATGTGATTAATAAGTTGATATATAATTTAATAATACAAAGAAGTATTTTAAAGAAATCATAAAATATGTGATATAATTAAATAATATTTTAATATTTTTAAATTAGTTAATTAAGTTTTATATTGAAAAGATGGGGTGGTAGAATATATAAAATTAACAGCCAATCTTTTGTATGAAGGAAGTAGTCGATTTTTTCTTAACAAGATTGGTGATGAGAAACTTTTTATTTTTCTAAAAATTCCATAAGAACAATTACTTTAATTAATTTTGATAATATTTGAATATGATTAAGGTTGAAGAGAGAAAAAATCTGAACTATACTTTAAATGATGGAACTTTGAAATGTTTCAGATTGGGAACAGCCAACCAAACTCTCCGCCGTCCGGTGCCTGGGAAGCAGTCCTCCTTCTAATTAACCTTCGTTATTACTATTATCTTTTTTGATCTTTTATCTTTTCTGTTTTTTTTTTTGGCTCAACATTTCAAATCCAATTGAACGTAAATTTTCTTGCCAATCCAATCACTTCGATTCCCTCCAACGATTAATCACCTTTCACCGGCTTTAAAAGAAGAAAAAGAGATTGATGTTTTTGCCAATCTTTGCTCCGACATCATCAATCTCCATCGTTTCTTCAACCTGAAACTTCTGGATCGAAGATACTTTGACTTTCAGATTTTGCCTGTGTACTTTTCATTTGAAGGGGAAGATGAGTAATCAGAAGAAAAGAAATTTTCAGATAGAGGCGTTTAAGCACCGGGTCGTGATGGATCCGAAATACGCTGATAAGACCTGGAAGATTCTGGAGCACGCGATTAATGAGATATACAATCACAACGCTAGTGGTCTCAGTTTCGAAGAGCTCTACAGGTCTCCTTTCTTTCTCGTGATTTCCATCGGCTGCCATTAATCTTGCGTTTGCCTTCCTCTCTGGGAAAATTGTTTTCTTCGTGTGATGTGATCTTTCTGATCTCTTGGTGGACGAGTCGGCTGTATCATCTTGATAAGCTTCGAACTTGCGGTTGTACTCAGTAAAATAACTCGTCAATTTTGAATGCCGACACAGCTTATTATTGGCCTGTGCAGTTATTTACATTGTTTGAGAATCTGTTATTTAGTATTGCACTGCTCAGAGTATTTAAGGTATCTGAACTGTACAAAGTGGATCGTAAAAACAAATTTATTATCCTTCTTGTAGTTCCTTCTGGTCAACTTTTCATGGTATGTGCATTGTGTGAGATAAGGTGTCTCCTATGTCTAGGAAGTGTGTTTATGGACGAGTTAATTGAATATATGATGGAGCTCTTTTTTCTTTTCGAGATTATAACTGGAGCTCTTTTTTCTTTTCGAGATTATAAGATGCTCAATTTTTTTTTGAGTTGTGGATCAGCTTCTATGCTGTTCTATTTCTTAAATCGTTGGAGTTGCTCGGTATCTGAACCCAGACTGTCTTCATCTGTTTCAATTTTTTTGCACTGTTTTGAGTTCTTATGATATCTTAATAGATTGAGTTGCGCTTCTTTTCACAAATTTTAACATAGCTTGGAGAGAGAAAAAACTGTGAGTTTAGAAACTGGGAGGGTTGAAACCCTGAACTATGCAGGGATTGCTTAGTTGAAATTCTGTATTGGATAACTATTTACTTGTGAGGATATTATGAGGGATTCTGATATACATCATTGATAAGAGTCCACATTAATGTTTCAAGGTTGGGCCTCTTAATGGAAATGTTCTTGTGGAACACAATGGGTACTGAATCTATTGACTTTCTCTTTGCATGCAATGAAACTTCTGCTTCTTCTGAGTTCTGAAAAGGATAGTTTTATTAGCAGATTTGTCAGCTGTAGTTGGATATTTATTAGAGTAATGGTTTATACTTTATACTTCTACTCAGCTAATGACTTGTTATTTAAATAACATACACTGAACTAACGGATTTTCTTGTGGGATATGTGCCCATCGAAAGGATTTTATGTCTTGTCCTATTCTTTCCCGAGGGAAAAATTATATATCATGCCTCTAAACTTTTCACCTCTGTTTCTGTGTGGATTCAGAAATGCATACAATATGGTGCTTCACAAATTTGGTGAAAGGCTTTACTCTGGACTGGTCACAACCATGACTGCACATCTCAAAGATATAGCCAATTCTGTTGAAGCAGCTCAAGGTGAATCCTTTCTGGAGGAACTCAACAGAAAATGGAGTGATCATAATAGGGCATTGCAAATGATTAGAGACATACTAATGTATATGGATAGAACTTACATCCCAAGCACACATAAGACCCCTGTTCATGAGCTTGGGCTGAATCTATGGAGAGAAAATGTTATTTACTCCAGCCAGATCAGGACCCGGCTATTGACTTTACTTTTGGAATTTGTACAAAGAGAACGCACTGGTGAAGTTATTGATAGAGGGCTAACTAGGAATATAATAAAGATGCTATTGGATTTGGGTCCATCTGTCTATACACAAGAATTTGAGGCTCATTTTCTTCGAGTGTCCGCTGAGTTTTATAGGGTAGAATCCCAGAAATTCATTGAGTGCTGTGACTGTGGGGAATATCTGAAAAAAGCTGAGAAGCGACTGAATGAGGAAATTGACAGGGTGAACCATTACTTGGATTCCAGGACTGAAAAGAAGATAACAAATGTGGTGGAGAAGGAGATGATTGAAGATCACATGCTGAGATTAATCAATATGGAGAATTCTGGGTTAGTAAATATGCTTTGTGATGATAAATATGAAGATCTGGGTAGAATGTATAATTTGTTTCGTCGTGTTCCTGAAG